TTCTCTAACTAGGTACCTAATGCAATGGTAAATAGTAGTGGTAAAAGTAGACATCCTTACGTTGTTATAGATATTAGAAGAAAAGCTTTCAGTTTTTCACCATTATGATGTTGGCTGTAGGTTTGTATAAATAACTTTTATTATGTTAAGGAATATTCCATCTATCCTGCCTTTTGAGAGTTTTTAATCATATATAAATGCTGATTGAATCTTATCAAAGTCTATAGATATTTATTTAGATATTTATGGTTTTGTCTTTCCTTTTGTTAATGTGATGAATTACACTGGTTGATTTTCAAATGTTAAGCCATCCCTTTGTCCCTGTAGTAAATCCCATTTGGTCATTATATGTAATCTTTTTGATGTATTTTTGGGTTTTTTGTGGAATATTTTTGAGTATTTTTGCATCTATCTTCAGAGAAATTGGTCTGTAATTCTCTTTGTGATGTCTTTGTCAGGTTTTAGAATCAGTGATGTCACTCAGCCTCAGAATTTGGAAGTTTTCTATCTTTCTCCACTTTCTGATAGAGTTTGAATAAGATAAATATTAGTTCATCTTTGAAGATTTGGTAGATCTCAGTAGTGAAACCATTTGGACCTAGACTTTTTGTACTTTGGGAGACTTTTGATTAGTTTTAATTTCCTGAATTGTGATTAGTCTGCTCAGATTTTTGAGATCTTCCTGGCTCAGTCTTGGAGGGTTGTGGATTACTAACAATTTCTCTGTTTAACCTAGATTATTCAAGTTGTTGGCAAATAGGTACTTATTGTAATCTCTCATGATCTTCTGTATTTCTTAAGTGTCTGTTTTATTAATTTTTCTCTTTCATTTCTGATTCTATTTATTAAATTTTTTTCCAACTTTTTTCTTAATAAGTCTAGCTAGAATTTGATTATTTTCAAAGACTTCTTTTTGGTTCTTTGGGCTGTCTTTATTTCATAGTTCTGTGCTAATTTTTATTATTTCCTTCCTTCTACTGTCATTTGCCATCATTTGTTCTTCCTTTTCTAATATCTTGAGGTGAGATTAAGGCTGTTTATTTGAGCTCTCTCTTGTTTGTTTGTTTTTGTTTTTTGTTTTTTGTTTTTTTTTTTTTTTGCTGTGGCCTGAATTGCTATATACTTTCCTCTTAGAATCACTTGTGATACTAAGTGGTAAACAAAGTTACTGAATAAAAGTGTCTATATACTACTTTAATTGATAATAACAGAATAGAAAATAAGGAAAATTATTTTGGGAGATGCAGTATATAATTATTCTCTAAAAGATTGATCAGTGTTTTTCCTAAAGGTGAAAACATGTGTACATCAAGGGCATTGTAAAATTTTCATGCACTTCACATAAAGCATGTGATTTCTAAAATGTTTATATTAATAACACATGTATGACTCTGACCTAGGGCACAGTGAGTATCTCTTCTCAGATATGACAGTTTTTCCCCTCCCATGAAACTCTTATATGGTAACAAATCTTTGTGATTTTCAAGGTCTGTTCAGGAAATTCCAAAGACAGTTTTTGATAAAAAAGATAATGTTTTGGGTTTTGTAAATTTAGTTCTCATCATTAAAAGGCAAAATCAAGAGTTATCAATAACATAGACTTAAAGTAAAATAGAGCAATTTACACAAAAAGAATAATCTTTCCTCTCATAGGGAAAATATTAATCAAAAATCCAAAGAAGTGAAATTTATAAGCTTGCTAAAAGCTTAATATATTTCTCAGTATTATAAAACAAGGCAAATAAAACTCACTTTCAAAATGTGTCCTTTATTATGTTGTTTTTTTATATATATATTTTTTAGAACAAGCTTACAGTTTACTTTCGAACAAAAAAATGGCCCCCAGATATATAAAGGCTCCTGAACCTTGTTATATGTCTTAAAGTCAAAACTATCTCAAAAAAAATACCAAGGCCTCATTTGATTTTATTGTCGTATGAGGATACACAGTTTTTCCACGTATGACATATGATATCTCATTAGGCTGAATGCTAAAACAAGAGAATCCAACTGAATTCTATTAAGCTAAATGTTACAGACTTTCAAAATCATGAAACAATGCTTAAAAATAAATTACTTATGTTAATAGGAAATGACTTTATCATTGCTATAAACAATTTTTAATTTATTACATTTTTCATTTTTAATATTCATGTCAATTTTTTTTTTTAGGTAACATTGATTTTCTATACTATATATGATTCAGAGGTATAGAATAGTTACAGGACACCCCAATGTGAATTGGGTTGCCTGTCTGTGGGTCCTCACTCACGTGCCTAAGATTCAATCGTACTGCGGACACATACAAAAAGTTCGATAATGGGCTTATTTACAAGGAGAAAGGTAAAGGGAAAGAGGAAGAGAAATACAAGTTAACTAGAATGTCCTACCAGTTCTGCTGACTTGAACTCCAAATAGCATGCTGAAAGCTGATCAGGAGCCAAACGACCAGCTGTGAACCACCAGGCCAAGAGACCCCCAGAGCCCACATGTCCAGTTTTATCCCAACCTGGCTGCTCAGTTCCGCCCTCACATCCCAGCGTGCTTCTCATTGGTATTGATGGGATTTGTAGTTTCAGTATTGGGAGTGGGGGCGCAGTCCATGAACCTGAATCTGTTACAGGTTCACACCTCTTCAGTTGTATGTTACCACACCCACCACCAAGGCACCCATATTCCTCAACCATAGGCCATTGAGCCCCTTACACACTCTGCTAGCTACCCTCCCCCTTTCCTCTTGTGACACCCTCAATTCTACACTCAGGCTTCAGGGACTATCTATTGGTTCAATTCTGTCTGACCCTTTGTTTAGTTTCTCTATATTCCACATTTAAGTAAAACTATCCAGTATTTACTTAGCGTCATCCCCTCCAGTTCCATCCATGTAGTCGCAAATGGCAAAAGTTCATCTTTTTTATAGCTGAATGATAGTCCATTCTGTATATATACTATATCTTCTTAATCAGCTCATCCCTCCTTGGACACTTAGGTTGTTTCCATAACTGGGCTATTATAAATAGTGCTACAGTAAACATAGAAATGCACATATCCCTTCAAATAAGCATTTTTGCAATAAGCATTTTGCATTCTTAATTCCCAGTACTAAATATTAATAGATATACCACATAAGCAAAGAAAACTATAGAAATCTGTAATAAAAGCATGCAAACGGTCCTGAGATCCTTTTTGAGAACACACATTATTTCTCCGTTAAAACAAAAGAATTACAGTTATACTTCACTGCCATTATTGCTCCTAATATAATTATAGTCCCCATATTTTAGAAAATTACTAATTTCTATTTCACAGGGAAAACTAGAGAGTATAGCTAATTGAAAAATCACATGTAAGTATTTTAGCAGACTAACAGAACTCATAAACACACTGAATACAACTTTCTTCGACCACACACATCCCTTTTGTACCTTCTTAATGTAGCAAAGATGAAAAAGCATATCAACATGGCCTAAAGATGTAATGTCTCTGTAGCATATAAAATGAGTAACTTAGAAACAAAAGCATTTTAAATCATGTTAATTAAAGGTAAAATAATATTTGCTCTTACTTGAAAATCATCTGGATATTTGATGATTATTCATAAATGATTATGAATGCCAGATTTTAAAGTTCTTAAAAACTATTTGTATGCTGACAGACTGTAAACATAGTTTCTAGTGAAACTAAAAGGCTTTTAGGATAATGGGCTCTATTTCACTGAACCAAATTTTATATTTTTCATAATCTTAAATATTATGTAAGAATAATGTCAGTTTATTTGATAAAGAAACCTATATAAGTTGAAGAAAAACAAATCCAAGTAGGAAAAAATGCTTTTGTCTAATTATACTTAACATTCATAAATAAGAGAAAAAATATTGCTGGGTTTTCTTAATAACCAAAATAATTGAAGTATTTCATCTTAACTATGCAAACTTTGATTCTAATAATTATTAGAATTTTCTTAGTGCAGCACATTTAAAATATTATGTTAAATTTCCTTATTATCTGGGTACTTTAGGAGTATTCTGTTTACTTAAGGATTTAATTCTAATCAATCAGATCAGAGGGCCTTTAGTTTCCAGAGACAATATAATTGTTTTGGTGTTTTGTATTGTTTTGTCTTGCTGGCAAATGAAAATTTATTATGGTTCTGTGGTCAAGACCTCTTTCTCCAGAACCTGCTAAAACTAGAAAGTTGAGAGTGAGAGACCCACAGGTCCCACTACCCCAGCCAGCATTTTTGTCACATTCAGAATCAGATGGAAAGGGGCCAGGATATGGGGCCACCTCGATCCCTAGCACATGACAAAGCTAGCTTTGCATGATCATCTGGTAGGCATAAAGTTTATGTGCCCTCCAGAGATAGGGAAATAATTCACACTCACACAGCAAGATAAACAGATGATTATACTATAAAACCAAATTTGCCATCAAATGCCACAAAGGGCAATGCACAGAAATAAAATCAGAATCAAAATCAGTAGAGAGGACAAAATGGAGACCCCAAAAGGTAATATAGTTCAGTTTTTTTTCCTTCATGGCATTCATTTCAAGAATCACGGAAAAGAATTTCCCCAGGTTTAAGCCACCCATAAAGTGTACTGTTCTGACAAGAAGGTTTACCCTTTAAAAAAGGACAATAACGTACCCAGTAATGATATTATATGTTCATGTGGTTTGGGTTTATTAGCTAGCTACTCCTACTTGAATGTACTTCTTTGTGGGGCCAGAGACATTGTCTCCTTTGTTCAAGGTTATATCCCTCTGTTCCTAGACTGGCTGTCAGCATATATCAGGAGGTGCTCAGTAAATAAATTTTTATTTAATGACTGAATGAATAAGTGAGGAACGAAGAGATAAAGAAGTATTTGTCTTAAGAAAATTAACTTCAGTAATACAAGGTGTTTCTTTTCCTTTAAATCTAGTTTATTTTATTTTCTAAAGCTTTGGAAATATATTAGAATACTTGAAAATAAAGTGATTATTTTTCATATTTGCAGGACTATCTCAAGCAGGTGCTGGACATTGATCTTCATGCTCAGATCCATTTTGGCAGGGTTTTTATGAAACCAGGGTATGCAAATAATCTTATTATCGCATATATGGGGTTGACTTGACTTGCTTTGACTAGTAATTTTAAATGCTTTCTTTTACTTTTTCTATTATGAATTATTCTAATGAAATAAACATTAGATGTAGTATTAGAAATCTTTGCAGAAATGTAGCTCCTATTTAAAATGGGAATTCATCTTCTTTATGAATCATTGGTTTTGCTATCATCAAAGCAAAGCAGCTTTTTAATTGGACTGGTCTACTCTCAGAAATTATAGATTGGTTACGTAAAATAATTGAACAACAAAAAAATAAACAAAACAAAGCAAACCTTTCCAAACTTTTTTTCCCCTTAATACCCATGTCTTGTTCCTTCTTTCTCCTTTTCTCTCCATGCTGCTTCTTTCTCTCTTTTTAGTAATATTTTAGTATAAAAATTCTCATAAACAAACCTACATGGGGAGAATAATGAAACTTCTGTTTATCCATCTCCTAACTTCAGAACGTTTTCCCATGATTCTTTTATCAATCTCCTTCGTACCTTTCTGGAAGGACAAAAGGCTAGATTGTTCTAAAGCAAATTCTATACACCATGTCATTTTTGTATATATCACAAATAATAAAAACAGCATTCACTTATGTAATTACATTAGTGTTATCTACCTTACAAAATTAATAAGAATGTTTCCATATCATCTAGTACCATATCATTTGAATATGAGTGATCATATTCAAAATTCTCCTAAATGTCAAGAAAAAGAATGTCCTATTATGTTTCGTTTGAATTAGGATTCCAATCACATCCACTTTTGCTGTATTTGTTAAATCTTCACTAAATCTGAACATTTACTCCCACTTCTTCTTTTGTTAGGTCATTGACTTTTCCTGAGAAATGTATTTGGTTGAATGCTTGCTTTTTTTTTTTTTAAAGATTTATTTATTATTTATGTTTTCAGAACTTGGGTACAGGCCAGAGATGTGGTGGGTAAGAGGATTCACCAGAGACAGAGTAGGGAACAGAACAGGCAAATCTACAGAAATACACTGCTGAGGCAAGCAGCGGGAGGGTCAGGAAAGGTCTGCCATGCCATGTGGGTCAGCTCAGCTCCCTGGCCACTGGTCAAACTTGTGTTGCAGTGGCTTCAGAGAGCTTCATACTGTGGTGCTTATTTAACCCGTTGCACCACCAGTTGCCCTGGTTGACTGCTTTCTGTAGTGGTAATAAATATTTCCTTCTCACCAATATATCTTTAGACTAGGAATTAGATATAAGGTCCAGATTAGGTAAAGATTTAATTTTTTGCCTTTACAATAGTACTTCATAATTAGTATTTCATAATGCTTCTGATTCCCACAAGGAAAGAAAAACAACCACATACAAAAATTTTGCACATTACCTGTGGAAGAGCTGCTGGAAGTTCTGTAATTGTTGTAAATTCTCAAATAATGACAAATACCGGTGTGGCTGAACATGTGTGGACATATCTTTAAGCAATAGTTTACGTGTTCAGACCCCTGTAACCCTGTACACCTTTGATACCCTCATTCAAAGGAGTATTCCAACACACTTCCATCGCAAATTCCAGAAATCCTTTTTTCAGTGTTAAGCCAGCCCTCCTAATCTCCCTAATTTATCAGGTAGCTAGTGTCAGTTTTAGAGGTCAGGCTTTTTCCTCCATGATTTTACCACTTAAGTATGAATGTGTAATTATCCCTTTACGCTTTCTCCACAATTGACAGGATTTAGAACTCCTGGTATTATATTTCTATAGTTGTCCCTAGGCTTTTTTATTACTGAAACGATTAAATTGGGATGATTAAGAACATTTTATCTAAGTAAGTATCATGCCATGGGTACACAGGCTTTTCTCCCCCATCCCTATGGCAGTGCTAACTTGAGTAGATAGAAAACAGCACCACAGCATGTCAATGTGCTGCTCACACATTATTTTCAATCCATTGTTTACTTACCACTTCAACTTTAATTTCATCAGTTGCAAATGTTTTGACCTTCCCTAAAGTCATAACACTGTGACTTAAGTCATTATATAAATGCCATTACATTTTGATCTCAAGAGAATTGAATAATGGTGTTGAGTTTGAAGGAAAGAGCTTTTCATTTAAACAAAAACTTCACAGCCTAGCAAACGGACACTCATGATAGCAATGCGTAACTTTAAAACAAAAATATTTTGTTTTGACAGAATCTTTTAAAATTAATCACTTTAGACAAATCATTCTATCTGCCTATAAGATGCAAAAGATAAATTAGCTTAATACAGTAAGGAAGGAAGGTATTATACATCCCCTTCTCACTTTTATTGTATGTTTTTGTTTGTTTTAATGAAGAAGCTTTAAATCAATTAAATTACTTTAATTTACCATAATTTTTCACACTTGTCTAGAGTTAAGAAATATTTGGATATAATTGCATTTTAAAAGTAGAACAAGAAAAATTTAAAAAGTCTAGAATAATTTAGCTTTGCTCTTCCAACATACAGTGCATTCAGAAAACAACCTTTCATTTTAGACACAGAGATACTGAAAAAAAGTACACTTGAAGTATTATCAGCCAGGTCTACTAATCATCCACAGTTTTTATGGGCCATTCTACAGTCAACATAGCTGTCATTGACAATGTGTCTTGGAAATTATTTTTATCATACAGTAACAATCATTACTAAATAACCTATCCATAAATTGTTATAACAATTTAATCTCATTTTTCTAAAATAGCAATGAGCAATAAGCAAAAGGGACTCAGAGGAGTCATAAAGTTAGAAAAACTTTGGTCAAATTGCTTAATCTCTGAGTTTCAATTTCCGAATCTGTAAAATGGGATTATAATTGTCACCTCACAGAATTGTGAGGATTAAGTGAAATAATCAAGTGTGATGCATAGGTATCTCTTTGGAAATAGTAATTTTTATTATTGCTATAATTAGCATTCTAATAATATATCTATTAGTACTACTTTCTAGTACTCAAATCTAAAGCTAGCTTTAGAATCAATGGTAGCAGCCCATCATTTAGGGAATCCAAGGGGGGTAGGGAGGGAAGGGAAAACAATAGAAAGAAGAACTTCAGAAAAATAGCAGTGTGTGTTGGATTATGATTTATAGGTAAAGCAATACATAATATCATCTGACCCAACATCACTGCATTATTATCAAAGTACAATAAGTTAATAATGATTGTTGTGGATCATCAAGAAACAGTGAATGTTTTGTCTGCAAGAAGTAATGAATGAGTGATCCATTTTTGGAAGGCCAATATGTAAAAAATTAAAACTGTCTGGTGCTTAAAAGAGTGTTTTTCAACTGTATGAAAACTTAAGCATTTCTTAAGCATCACTCAAGTTTCAATAATGAAAATTTGAGCTGAATTTCTGTATAAACAGCAATCAATAGGAAAAAAAAGTTGCTTTCTTTTTTTGTTTTAGTTGAGGTAAAGTTGGTCTACATTGTTGGAATTTTGGAAATTTAGGATCCCCTCCTTCAGATGTAGTTACCATAGCACTCCCTCCACCACCCTTGCCCACTGTGTTTCCTCCCCACCTGCTCTTGTCTTTCCCCTTCCTGTCGCCTCCCCCCTTCCTTCGTGCCCACTCTTCCCTGAAACTCGCTTACCCCTTTCTGCATCAATCCACCATAAGGATTCACTTCAGAATGTGGAGGAGGTGTAATTTTAAAATATTTTTTAATTATAATCACTTTAATTTTGTTCCTGCCATGATATTTTATTTATCTTCACATTCCTAAAAAACATTTGTAAAAGAGAGGTTTTTATGTTTATTGCTGAGTATAGTTTTAAAGAATTCAGAACTACTCATCTTGTTCATTCAGTAGGCATTTATCTGATAATGGAACGATTGTTATTAATCTCCCGCAAAATAGTTTAGACCTTATTATCTGGAGGGATACAGAAACTCCTAGATTTGCAATACACATCAATGACACTGGCAGGAAGGAGAGGAGGAAAGTTAGCTACAGATAACACTTAGTTTAGTTATTTCAAAACAAAAGATACCACAAATTGATTACTCTTGAAACACCTAGGGTGTAAAAGTTTAAAGCAGAGTCAAGAGAAAAGTTGTGCTTTTTTTTTTTTCAATGGTAAATTATCTGTAAGGAGAGCCACTAAAAAAAAAAAAAAAACTGGAGTACTTAATTTACTTATTGCAAATACTTAGAAGTTACTAACAGGTAACCTCTATTTTTCCTCTAGCCTACCAACAACATTTGCAACTTTGGATATTGATGGTGTGAGAAAAATAATCTTTGCACTACCAGGTAAGAATAACTGAAATAGTTTATTTTTTCTTAAGAAATGATCCAAATCTCTTTTTAATCTTAGGTGATGATAAATACCCATCAAAATATATGATGTGGAATATGAAAGACCTGGGCTCAAATTCCAACTTTACTTACTTACTTGAACAATCACTTAACCTCTCTGTTGATGTTTCTTCAACTATAAGTGGGGCTAATATCTGCATCATAGGGTTGGTGTGAAAGCTAAATTACATAGTATATTCAAAACATACTCTAAATTGTAAGATAATAGTTGAATATTAGCTGTCATTAGAACTTCCTGGTGTACTTTTCATTATAGGAAGTTGGCCTAAGCAGACCAGTCACCTCCCATTGCTAGAATTATTGTATTCAAAGAGCCAAAGAGCCTGGAATCACTTATGCAAATGGTGGAGCAAAAAATACAAAACTGCCGTTTTTCCTTGCCAGATTCAGACTGGTAGGGGGAAAGAGAGGGGAAAAAGAGGCATGACTAGTAGTAGAGCTTCTCAACTACTTGACTACATCATTGTCCCCACCCTCTACTCCCTTTTGAACAGAAATGTACTTGTGCGGATATAGAAAAGGTAAAGTAGTTCAGTTTGGAAAGACCTTTCCGCATTCAATTTTTTGCTGATTTTTGCCTATTCATCTAAATCCATGGCTCTGTAGCCATTACTAATCTTGGTAAATTCTTAATCAGTTTAGAAGTTTTATGTATCTACTTATTTGGTCAATTTTTAAAATTATCTTCTGATCGGTAACAGTATCCCATTCTGTATTTTTCACACAAATTTCTTCAAAAAATTACCTACTTAACAACTTTCAGCTACATAAATCTGGTGGCTTTGGGATGTTTATCTGATTTTTATATAATAAATCTCAAAAGAGTTATAAAGTAAGAAAGGCAGAATAATTTAGAACTGCAAGAACATTTTTAAAAATTGTGTCTATAAACATAGACTAAATGTTTATGATACAAGTAAATTGTAAGAGAAAGTACATGTAAGTAAAGTAGTTCACAAAATGTCTTTAGAACAGTTAGTATATCCTTGGATACTTAAAAAAAATCATATAAAGAGGTATGATCTCCCTCTTAGCCTTTATTTTGCCTAAAAGAGGCCTTATTTTGCTGTTTATTTTGTGTACAGGTATGAGTTGACCTAAATATGTAGTGAAAATTTAACAAATATTATTAGAATTGGAGTTTATTTCACCATTACAAAGTACTGTTTATCTGCCAAAGAAGTTAATAAAAACGCATATTCAAACTGATACTTTGACATCTTCTCTGCTCCACCTGAAGGAACCAAAAGAGGGCAGCAACAATTCACATGTTTAGATTGTGAGTCAAGAAGTATTTTCTTTTATAAGAATTTAAAATTTTAAATTGTATTTCTACCTTCCTGAGGGCCATGCATTTAAAACCATTACTAACTTTGATTTGCTTTAACACAGTTTAAAAGTTTTGAGTAGCTACTTGCTCTTTATTGTTTTTTTTTAAGTTGCTGTAGTAACATTTTCAAAAATACAAATAAACTTTAAGAAATGTTATCCATGTTCCTCTCTGTGAAATAATCAGTTTGTAATTTTCAGAAAACACCCTCCCAATCCTTTTTCTTATATAAAGCAGCTTACTTTTTATAGAGTAATGTTATAAAACAATAGGAGTTCTGTAACTATTTTTAACAATGGCTTGGGAAAAGTAATCAATTCTCATTAGAGCTTGCTGCGTTTTTTTTATTGAAATTATTAGTATCACTTATCATTTTTTACAACTTAAAAAATCTATTCTTAGCTGCTTTTGTGGACAGAAGAAATTAAAGGTATGATTTTAACTAATAATGGGTTGAATGAACCATTGCCTTTCACTTCAGTGATGTAATTAGCAGCATGTAGCTAGGTCATGAGAACTTAAAAAGTGACTACCCATGTCCCACCCTTAGTGTATGCATACATACTCTATACAACTGTATATATTAATAAAGCTAGAATTTTAGAACCAGCAAGAATATTGAGAATCATATGGTATAAAACTTCCATTTTATCAATGACTAAATTTAGACAAAAAGGTTTGTAACTCATCAGGTCACTCAGCTTAGTTAATTTACCAGTCCCACACAGGAAATTAAATTTGTTATTCTCTGCCCTGTTGTTTTTTTCATAGTCTACTTTTCCTCCCTTTGAAGTCCATGACATGCTCATATTTTTTCTTGGAGAAGAGCAGTTACATTTCTCAAACACTTCTTGCAACTTTAAAAGATCTTGGTATTTGTATTAGTATTCTCAGGCTTCCATAACAGAATGTCACAGACTAGATGAATGAATAACAGACAGCAGAAATTAATTTGAAGACTAATAATCTGAGATCAAGATGATGGCACTGTTGGTTCTGTTGAGGTCTTTCTTCCTGACTTGCAGATAGTCACCTTCCACTGTGACCTCACATACCCTTTCTGCTGAGTACTCACTCTCCTGGTATACCATACTTTGTGCTTTTTTTTTTTTTTAACTTCTAACATTATAGGACTATTTGTTGTTCTGGATTTTATTTTTATTTTATATTTATGTGATATTAGCTTACAATATTGTATATGAGTTCTTACCTCCTCAGATTTAAGTTTCAACCACCAAAGCATTCATTAGCATTCACCATAGTCCATTGGGCTCCTTCCTCTTTTGCCTCCCATCCCCTCTCCTCTGAGTAGTCTCAATTCTACAGTCATATTTCTAGGTTTTGTTTTGGTTTAGTTTTGTCTGTTCTTTTTTTTTCTCTAAGTTTCACATATGAATGAAGTCATCTAGTATTTTTTTTTCTCTGACATTTCATTTAACATAATCCTCTCCAGTTCCATCTATGTTGCCACAAATGACAAGATTTCATCATCTGTTATAGCTGAATAGTAAATAGTATTCCTCTGTGTGTGTGTGTGTGTGTGTGTGTGTGTTTGTATACACACCTCATCTTCTGTATCCATTCATCTATCATTGGGCACCTAAAGTTGTTTCCAAAACTGGACTATTGTAAATAGTGCTACAGTGCACATAGGAGTGCATATATCCCTTCAAATTAGTGTTTGTGTTCTTTTGGTGAATACATCTTTATTCATTGAATACAATTGCTGGATCGTATGGCGGATCTGCTTTTAATGTTTTGAGGAATCTGAATGTTGTTTTTCCATGTGGACTGTACCAGTCTACATTCTTACTGACAGTGTATAAGATACCTCTTTCTCCACACCCTCTACAACAGTTGTTGATTCTAGTGTTGGGGGCCATTCTTGCAGGTGTGAGATGGTCTTGCTTTGCAAATCCCTGTGTACCCCTATACAGTGATGTATCCCTGATAATAAGTGATGTTGAACAGACATCTTCATCTTCATAAGCCGGTTCCCCTTTTATATGTCATCTATAGCTTTTCTACCCATTTTTCAGCTGGGTGATTTGTTTTCTTTCTGTTGCGTTGTATGAGTTCTTTTTAGATCTTGGATCTTAGCTCTTAGTCAGATGTATGATTTGTAAGTATTTTCTGATCAATTTTCATGTCTTTTCAATTTGTTAATAGTTTATTTCACTGTTTAATGCTTTTAAGTTTGATATAGTCCCCATTTGTTTATTTTTGCTTTTGTTTTCTTTGCCATTGGTGTCAAATACAAGAAAGATCCCTGAGGCCAATGTTGTGGAGTGTTTGCCTGTTTTCTTCTGTGTATTTTATTTGCAGTTCTCACATCCAAATCTTTAATCAATTTTGAGTTAATTCTTGTGTATGGTGTAAGAGAGTGGTCTAATTTCATTTTTCTACATGTGACAGTCTAGTTTTCCCAACATCATTTGTAGAAGAAACTTTCCTTCTTCACAATTTTCCATTTCCCTTTGTTAAGATTAACTGTCCATACAAGTGTGGTTTATGGGATCTCAACTTCCTCTTTTTCTAAGGGTTCCAGTCTTGTTAGATTAGTGGCTCACTCTTTGACCTCGTGTAATTTTAATTACCTCTTTGAAGGTCCTTTTTCCAAAGACAGTTAATTTGTGGGTTAAGACCTCAACATCTGAGTTTGAAGGTGCATAATAGTATTCATACAAATCCTTCATACCTTAAATTTTCTAGTTGTATTTTTAATAGATATTTGGGTAGAGAGGGTTATGGGTAAATTTCTTTATGCTTATTCTATTTTCATATTCTTTGAAACTGATGCTATATTACTATGGTAATGAAAATATGTTGAAAATAGCAAGTTAGAAACTGCTTCAGAAATTATCAAGATTAGTATTTATGGCTCTCAGGAATGCAGAAATAAATGATCTTGAACAGCTTCTGGACATCAGAAGTCTCTGCATTTTACTGATTGACCCAAATGTTCATACTTTCTGTAGCATTTGGTTGACTATAGCTTTATTCTGACATCCTTTTGTATTCAAAGTAATTTATATCTTTCATTGCTTCCATCTATATAAAACCTGAAGTTATAGACAGACATAATTATCTGGTATTTTTATGAGAGTACAATAAATAACTGCCTTATTGACTTTCAGGGAATCCTGTGTCAGCTGTTGTCACCTGCAATCTCTTTGTTGTGCCTGCACTGAGAAAGATGCAGGGCATCTTGGATCCTCGACCAACCATCATCAAAGCCAGGGTAATATTTTCTAATGAGCAGTCATCAAAACTGAATCCAAATAATAAGGACATGACTTCCTAACTTCCCAAAAGAAACACTTGGAGTTGTGTGTGTTAGCATTGAGAGAACATGCAGTTATAATCACCCCTTCGAGTTGAAGAAGAAAACTTTCATTGACTTTTATTCCCCTCCCACATTTTTTCTGTAATTTCTGAGGTGAACAATTTTCTTCATCTGGAAGTCCATATGGAAGTAGATACGTAATGACAAAGTGGTTAGTAGAATGTGCCTTACTACCAAACCTACATGGAGTTAGAGACCAGAATTCTCTTTCCTTGGTATAAACTGACAGAGAACAGTTGACCTACTAGTTATTTTGTGGACTTACTGGTAGATGCATTTTAAGCTGTTCAGGTAAAGACAAAAGACTAGAAAGAGACTCTATTGGGCCAGAAGAAAGTGTGACTATGTTATTTAGATAAGAACTACCAAGGTTGAGAATTACAATTATGATAGAAGTCACTTAAAAATTAAACTGCCTTTCTCTGCCAGGACTTTCAATTTGATTTACTACTTTCAACTTAGTGAGTAAAACAAACTTCTACAAAATTAATGAATAATTTTCTTCACAATATAACCCATAATACCAAGCCACTACTTTTTATTATTTAAACTTTATTATGGTGTAACTGATGTACAAAAATATATGCATTCAATGTATACAATTTGATTAGTTTGGACATGTGCATGCACCCAGGATGCCATCACCACAATTAAGGCACTAAACAGTCATCACCTCCAAAATATTCCATGCAACTTCTTGTGGTTTGTTTTATGCTGTTTTGTTTGTTTTTTTCTTTTGAGTTTGGGGGTTATGGCTTTTTTTTTTTAATTTTATATATATTTTACATGATTCTTCATTTTTATACAATATATGCTTTTTCATCTCGGTTATAGTCCTGATGGAATTCCCACCATGTCATCTGTTCACCAACACCATAGTCCCTTGTGCTCTTCCCACCCTTATTTTGGTTCTACTCCCTTCCCCCTTCCCTCTCCACTCCCCCACTCCTGCAGAATACCTCTGGTTTATAGTTGCTTGTTTTTGTTTTTTACTTTAATTACTTCTTTTTCTCCCTGATCCGTTACATTCCTGGTAAAAGTGACACCATCAGGAATTTTTCTTTTTCTTTCAGGCTTATTTCACTGAGCATGATCTTCTTGTGGTTTGTTTTGTTTGTCTCATGCTAAGAACATATTACGTGAGAACTCTTAACATATCCTCTTAACATAGTTTAAGTACTGCAGTAACTGTAGGTACTATGTTATACAGTAGACCTCTGGAATTTTTCTATCTTGCAAAACAGACACTAGATACCCACCAAGCAACAATACCTCACCTCGGTCCTTGGCAACCACCATTCTATTCTCTACTGCTATGAGTTTATTTTAGATACCTAACAAAAGTGAATCATACAGTATTTGTCTTTCTGTGACCAGTTTGTTTCATTTAGCATAATATACTCTAGGCGTGTCCTTGTTGTCACAAGTGATAGGATTTCCTTCTTTTTTAAGAGTAAATAATACATGACATTTTCCTTACCCATTCATGTTGATGGAGAGGCAGATATTTTTCATTCCTTGGTTATTGTGAATAATGCTACATTGAATATGGAGGTGCAGATATCTCTTTGAAATCCTTATTTTACTTCTTTTGGACATACTCAGAAGGGTGATTGCTGAATCATATGTCATATGATAGGTCTGTTTTTAATTTTTGAAGAACCTCAAAATTTCGGAGGAAACTCCATAGCGGCAGAATCATTCCACATAAGGGTTCCAGTTTCTCTGCATATATATATATATTTTTTTTTTTACAGAAGGTGGAACAGTTTCTCTGTATATTTAATACCACTTGTCATCTTTTATTGTTATTTATTTACATAATATTTTTGGTTAATGGCCAACAGGTCTGAAGTGATATCTCACTATGGTTTTGATCTGTATTTCCCTGATGACTACTGTTGCTGAGAATGTTTTCACATATTTTTTGTCCATTTGAATGTATTCTTTGGAGAAATATCTAGTCAAGTCCTTTGCTTAATTTTCAACCAGATTATTTGACTTTTTTGTAAATATTGACTTACAAGAGGTTCTTATATATTTTGGACTTTAACCCCTTATTAATTAGTATGAAAATGTCATCTCCCCCTACTTAGGTTGTTTTTTCATTCTGCTGATGGTTTCTTTTGCTACATGGAAACTTTTTTGTTTCCTATAATCCGACTTGCCTATTTTTGGTGTTTTTGCCTGTGCTTTTGCTGTCAGATCCAAAAAATCATTGCCAAAACTAGTGTCAAAAAGCAATCCAATGTTTTCTTTTAGAAGTTAAAAGAAAAGTTGTTTGTAGTTTCATATCTTACATTTCGGCCTTCAATCCACTTTTAGTTGATTTTTGTGTTTTATGTAAGGTAGTAGTCCAACTTTATTCTTTTGCAGGAACATATCCACTTTCCTTAATATCCAAATCATTACTTCTCAAAAACTCTGAAATAAAATCAGATATGATAAAATGTTATGATTAATTGATAGGAAAAATATAGACAAGAAAGAGACAATATTAACAAAATATTATTCTGATAATACACAGAATTAAACATTAAGAAAATCTATATTCTTTTTTCTGTTGCCAAAATTTCTTTTAATTTTTGTCCCTAAACAAGCACAAAATAATCTAGAAATAAATCCTCTGAGTAGATTTGAAATAGAGTTAAACATAAGCTATATCAAGTGAAAGATTTGAGTGATTTAATCAAGAAAAAAAATACCCTCAAACTGAATTTTATTCTGCATTCCAGAGGAAAAGCATGGATTATCCAAATGACTGTTTAAAATGTTTTAAAATGTAGTAATTAGAATGAATTGGCAATAATTTTACTTAAATCAAAAATTCCAGGATATTCACATTTTAATCATGTCATCTGATATGAGCAATGTCTGTTTTAGTTAAACAGTGATTTCTAGACAATTTTAAGATAGAATAATTTAAATGATTATTTGCTAATAGAAAATGTTATTTCCCTATATACTGGAACAAGTCCTCCTTTCTGCCAACATTTAACTAATCTAATTACACTTTATAAAATTGTTCAAAGAATATCTCATAGGCACTGACTTCTTATCAGACTTTAAGATGAATTATTTTTACCTAGATTTAAAAAAAAATAATGGATCCAGGTTGAAGATTGATTAGTCATTCTATGTTATGTGTGTCAGCTAAAGTTGCTGTGTTAGAAAATATTTTTGTCCTTGTTAAAAAGATATGAAAGCTGCCATTCCACAGCAAAGACTCATTCAGAGGAATTCTTTTAGTGATGTAACTAAGGTAAAATGGTATAACATTTGGTAGAGACTACTCTTATTTGCTTTAATGAAATTATATGTCAGTAATATAACACTAGAAAAAAGTAACTAGCCTTTTTTATGTTGAAGATATTTTAAAGAATGGGTAACTGAATAGCACCTCAAAATTTACCAGATAAATGAGTTAATGGGTGTACAGGTAAACATACAAATAAATGGATATTGAACTTTTTGTTTAGGTCCACCTTCTTTATTTTCAGTGTTGACAAAATCTGAATTCATAGGTCAAGGCTTATTCTTCTATCTAAATTAATGGGTATGTGGACAGATAATCTGTCCACATACCCATTAATTTAGATAGAAGAATAAGCCTTGTCCTTTTCATCTCCCTTTTCCCCACATTGTGAGCAGCAACTTCTTAGCCTTTTCTTTTCCCTCTAAAATAATACAACGTATGGACTTCCAGTATTAGGAATATAAGGTAACAGTAGTGGAAAAAATAGAATGCCAAGAAATTTACCATGCCTATTATATTCTTTGAACAACATCCACCACTTTGTAATTTTAGAGGTGATCAATTTGTTTCCTTTACTTTTTACTAATTAGTTATCATGTGATGTAAAACTGGATCCTCGCCCAGAATACCATCGGTGTATACTGACTTGGCATCACCAAGAACCACTGCCTTGGGCACAAAGTACAGGTTAGTCACTCACATGTGTAAGTATCTCAGTACACCCATATACATAGGTCCTCTTTCCTTGGATCTTTTGAAAAGACTAGATGAGTTATATTTTTCCTATACAATATGGTATAAAGAGACAGTAAGTAAAAATATCTTCAACAAAGGGCTAATTATTCCATGGAGCCATATTTTCTAGATAAACATCTTAAATAAAAATCTAGAATTACAGAATGTTATCTCTTGTTTAACCAGTAAGTCGTGAGCATAGATTTGATTATAGGGAAAAGAGGGAACTATAGCTATATCACCATGAAATGTGTGATTAAAATGCAATGATAATGTGATTCTCTGAAGCTTCTACTATGCCATAAAGACTGGTAAATTTTAAGAACTGAAAATCTACATTGATCATTCATATTTCCATAAGTACCTTCTCTGGACTTTAAACTTATGTCCCCAACTCCTCTAGTTATATTTCACCTAACTTTTAATAAGACTCCAGAAAAATTGTTTTGTCCTTTAAGTAAAGGTCATTTCATATGAATATGTAAGCTAACACATTGACTAAATACACAAACTTTGCTATTCATTCAAATTGGTAACAAACTACTTAATAGGACTGCAGGCAAGTTACCTAATCTCTTTGAGTCTTGTGAGAGTTGAATAAGATAGTTAAGTAAAACACCTCCCATCTTATCTGGTACCTAATAAACACTAAAGAAATGGTAGATACTGATATAGATATAGATAGATAGATAGATAGATAGATAGATAGATAGATAGATAGATAGATAGATAGATGATAGATAGATAATACTTTACATATATATATATATAATCAGTATTATTTTAATGCATTTTAAAGGCTTCTCTTCAGGTACACATACATTTCAGTGTATCTCAAGAAATTCTATGGCACTTTATGTAATGTTACACAATCCTGGCTTTATTCTTTTAAACAATATTTTTTAATGTTTCTTTTTAAAGATTAATAATAATGTAGTAGGATGCAGTTATATCGCCACCTGCATAAGATATTAGGAAGTCTGGTCACTTCCCTTCCTCTTAAAGACTTGTGTTTCTGTTCATCAATTCTTATTTTGAAAAGAACTGCAAGGGCTTCAGATGTATTCCTTGTGCTGCTTATGCTGCTGTAATGAGAGTATTTCTCCCTAGGTAATCAGATGAGCAGCCGTCTGATGAGTATGCGCAGCGCCAACGGATTATTGATGCTACCTCCAAAGACAGAGCAGTACGTAGAGCTGCACAAGGGCGAGGTGGTAGATGTTATGGTCATTGGGCGGCTATGATGATCGCCAGCGGCAGAAAGCTTTGATGCATGTCCACATATCATTGACTGTATCCTGTAATATGCAACGGCACAGCTAGTTTTTCTGATCTGGATAAAAGTTGATCTGTATAGTCAACATCTTGAACTATATTTCAAAAGAATTTAAATACCTTTTAAAGAAAAAAAAACTCCTAAAAATAAATCTTAACAGACAACTCTATTCTGATTATATCAAAGCAAATTTTTCCTTTCTTGCAAATTGCTTTGTGTGTTCAATGCTAGGTCTGATAGCGATAGCTTTTAGTAGACAGCAGTAGGTGCCTGCAGAACTTGTGTTTTTCTCATCTTTAAAATACAACTACTTATGCTCTTAAATCAAGGCTGTCTGCTTATTTATACTAGTGTAGGCAACACTTGGATTTCCCTTCTTAGTATGCTTCATAACTGCTTTACAGAGAGCTTTTGCTTGTTCTTTATCATGTATCTCGTGTTTATGTGCGCAGTGCCAACAGAAGAGTGACTGGGTGGAGGCCTGCCCTGCCTCAAGGAAAACCTTCCCCAGCAGAGCATCTGGGGAGGTTTCTCACCCCAGAATCCTAACGGCACAGTACTCTTGGGCAGTAACTGGATACCTTTTATTTGAACAAACTGGGGGGGAAATGCTTCCTAAAGTGCTGACAGCCTTTTTAACCAATACATTTAAAATTGTACAGAACAAAAAATAAAATCAAAGACTGATCTTGTACAGATATTAGTGTTACCAGCATTCATGTGGAAATCAAGAGCAAAGAAAAAAATGTTAAACAACTCTGTACCATACATTTTCTGTAATGATACTGAAACTTAATGAATAAAAAAAAAATCCTTGATCATTATTTAAAATTCATTGTCTTGGACTTGTTATTAAAAATGAAGATTGCCAATTTAAGACCTGATATATATTTGTTTACATATTTTGACTATTCTTTTTATTCATAACTGGAAATTAGCTAGCAGATTTACAGTAAAGAAGCTTGATAATATAGCTAAAGACAAATTTCACCATCTATAGTTCTTTGAAATGAAGCAGGGAAAAAATAAGGAAAGAAGCAGGAAAACACAGATTAGCATATGGACATTTTTTGATCATTTAGAAAAAAAGTAAGAAATGGAAAAATCTGTACTGGCCAAAGAAAATGCCACAAATGAAATATACTTAATCCTCAGTGACTCTTTTAATAAAAATGCAGGAATACCTTTTAAATTATACTAACAAAAGATTAAATATATTTCAAGTATACTTAGTAAAGCAAACAACAAAAATTGACCTTCCTATAAAAATGGTACCAAATGATAAATAAAGCCAAGTAATAAAAAAGTATTTCATACTGATGTTTGATATTTCTAGGGTAGAAAATAAATGTTCTATATTTTAAGTTAGTTTTATATTCATAATTAAAGAAGATATATAAAATGCTATGCGCTTAGATACAAGGTACATCATGCTATTATTTACAAAGATGAATAGGGATAGTTCCTGATATTATACTACCTCAAGAGAGAAGAAAGAAGGAACATTTTCCTTCTGAGTTAGAAAATGGAAAAAATAAGAGCACATTTGAAATAGATAGAGGAAATTTTCATTTAAAAATTAAAGTTCAGGGCCCTCCCTGGTGGCACAGCAGGTTAAAGCACAGCACTGAGAAGCTAAAGCCACTTCCACATGAGTTCGATCCCCGCCTGCCTGGGAGGTGACCACATGTCACAGCAGACCTCTCCTGACCCGCCTGCTGCTCAGAGTGTACTTCGCTAGTCGGCCTGTTTTGCTCCCCACTCTGTCTCTGGTGAATCCTCTCACCACCCCTGCACCTCTGGCCAGTTCTGTATGCATAAATAAATCTTAAAAAATAAATGAATGAATGAATGAATAAATAAATAAATAGATAAATGGATGAAAATTAAAGTTCAATATCTCATGGTAACCACAAAGCAAAAACCTATATAATAAATTTTCAAAGAAGATGAAAAAAGGAAATCAAATACACACTGAAGAAAACATCACACCTCAATGGAAGAGAAAAAGAAAAGAAAAGAAGAGGGAACTATGAATATGACCAGAAATAAACTAGCAATTTGGCAATGAATACCTATATCAGTTATACCTTAAATGTAAATGTCTAAATTCTTTGATCAAAAAACAGAGTAAATGGGTTAAAAATCAAGGCCCAACAATATGCTGCCTATGGGAGACCCACTTCGGGGTTAAAGATACTCATAGATGGAAAGTGAAAGGAGGGTGGGAAGTTACATGCAAACAGAGCTAAAAATAAAGTTGAGATGATAATACTCATATCAAACAAAATGGACTTCAGAACAAAGACTGTAGTAAAAAAGATAGGCCTTATATAATGATAAAGGAAGCAATCCATTAGGAAAAAATAGCATTCATCAGTGTATATGCACCAACATAAGAGTGCAAACCACATGATGTTTGTATGGGGAAAATTGATAGCAATGCATTAATAGTAGGGGATTTAACATTCCACTTAAATTAATGGATAGATCCTCCAGACAGAAAAACCAATATGGAAACATCACACTAAAGTGATATGCTAAACCAGATGACATAAGAGGTACAGAGAATATTCCCTCCAAAGGAAGCAAAATATATATTCTCATGTATATTTATATGTATTTTAAAAGTATCTCTGACTATATTGGTATGAGGTTAGAAATCAAGTGTAAGGAAAATGGAAAGGACACCACAAATAGTGAAGATTAAACAACATGCTACAGAACAACTATTTGGTGGCTGAAGTAATCAAAAAAGATATAAAATGTATTTAGAAATGAATAGGAATGAAAATACCATGCACCAGAATATTTGGGATGTAGTAGAAGCACTAATAAGAGAGAAGTTTAAAGCAATAGACATAAATCTTAAAAATAAGAAAAAGCTCAAATAAACAATCTTACCTTTTATCTAAATGAAGCAGAAAAAGAAGAAAAAATGAAAGGGAGATGGAGGGAAATAATAAAATCAGAGTGGAAATAAATGGACTAAAAATCAATACAAAAGATCGATGAAACCACTCATTTTTTTTGAAAGAGTCAACAAAATTAACAAGCATTTGGCCAGACTCATTAAGAAAAAAAGAAACTAAAACAAATACAGGGCCTCCCTTGTGGCACAGGGGTTAAAGTTTCAGCACTATCAAGCTATTGCCAGCCACTGCAACATGAGTTCAAACCCCAGCCAGGGAACTAATCCACAGATGACACAAGACTTCTCCTTTCTCACCTGCTGCTTCTCTCAGCAGTGTATTTCAGTAGATCCACCCGTTCTGCTTCCTCTCTATCTCTGGTGAATCCTCTTACTCCCACACCTTTGGCCTACACCCCAGTTCTTGTATGCATAATAAATCTTTAGAAAAAAATAAAACTAATACAATCATCTAAGCCAACTTTACCTAAATAAATATAATTGGGGGAGGAGGAAAAAAAGAAAAAACCCAAATGAAAGCAGTTGCAACAGATACCATAGGAATACAAAAGATCATAAGAAATAACTGTGATATCTATATGCCACAAATTGGAAAACCTAGAAGAATTAGATAAATTCTTTGAATTATACAACTTCTCAAAATTGAGTTATGGGAGAGTCAAAAATCTGAGTAGACCTATCACAAGTAAAGAATTGAGGTAATCTAAAACCTACCCCCAAACAAAAGTTCAGAATCTAAAGTCTCCACTGGATAATTCTACAAAACATTCATTCAAGGAAAATATAAAACCCACCCCTCATAAACTATTCCAAATAATTGAAAGAGAGGGGATGTTTCCTAACTCCTGTTATAAGGCCAGCATAATATTGATACCAAAACCAGAAAAAGGTAGTAGCAAAAAATGAAAATTACAGGCTAAGTTCCCTGATGAACATAGATGCAAAATCCTTAATAAAATAGTATAGTAAATGCAGCGCATTAGAAAGGTCATACACCACAACCAATTAGGATTTACATCAGGGATGAAAGATGTTTCAACATGCAACAAATCTATCAATGCATCTCATCAACAAAACCATATAATCATCTCTGTAGATGCAGGAAAAGCATTTGATAAAATTCATCATCTCTTTATGATTAAAAACTCTCAAAATGGATATAGAAGGAACATACCTCAAGATAATAAATGTCATATTTGACAAGCTCACATCCAGCAATATATGCATAGGGGAAAGCTGAGACATCCTCTAACATCAGGAAGAAAACAAGGATGCCTTCTCCCACCACTGTTATTTAACTTATTAAATGTCCTGGGCAGAACAATTTTGCAAGAAATAAAAAGTATCCAGATTGGAAGGAAGAAATAAAACAGTCACTAAATGCAGATTATGTTATACACATAGGAAACCCTACAGAATCCAACAAAAACTATGAGAAACAATAAACGAATAAAGCAAAATTGTAGGCTACAAAATATTGTTTCTCTGTGCAAACTATGAACTAGCAGAACTAGACAAGTGCTGAAAACAGTATCATTCACAGTCTCACCAAAAGTGTAAAATATCTAAAAATAAAATTAACCACGGAAGTGAAGTGAAGTGAAAACTAGAAAATACTGCTGAAAAGAAATTAAAGAAATGGAAATGCATTCTATACTCCTGAATTGGATTAATGTTCTCAAAATGGCCATTCAACCTAGAGCAATCTACAAACAGTGCAACCCCTGTTAGGATTCCTATTGCATTCTTCATAAAATAGGAAAAAAAAAAAAAAAACTAAAATTTGTGTAGAGCTCAAAAAATACCTCAGAGAGCTAAAATAATTCTGTGAATAAGGACAATGGGGGTATCAGTTCTCTGATTTCAAACTATGCTACAAAACTACAAAAGTACAGCACTGGAATAGAAACAATCAATGAAATAGAGAACTCAGGAATAAAACCACTCATGTGGGTAAATACTAGGTGACAAGCCAAGAGCATACAGTAAGAAAGAAAAGTCTGCAATAAATGGTGCTGGGAAAGCTGAACAGCCACATGGAAAAGAATAAAATTAGGCTGCTGTTTCATACCAGATGTTAAAATCAACTCAAAAGGGATCAAAGACTTAACTATAAGACCCCAAACCATAAACATACAAGAAAACATAGGTAAAAAGCTCTTTGACATTAGTTTTCGTGATGTCTTTGTGGATTTCTAACAGTAAAAGAGTATACAAAGGGGATCACATCAAACTAAAAAGCTTCTGCATAGTAAAAAGTACCTATCATTACAATGAAAAGGCAGCCTACTGAATGAAAGATATGAAAGATATTTGTAGACAATTTATCAAAGAATTAATAACCAAAATAGATAAACATGTTCATACAACTCAACAATAAAAACTATACAACTTGATTTAAAAATGGGCAGAGAATCTAAAAAGACATTTCAGTAAAGACATACAAATAACCAACAGGCACGTACACACAAAAAAATAATGTTGCATATCAAAACTACAGTGAGATTTCAACACTAAAATTTAGAATGACTATTACTAAAAAGTCAAGAAATAATAAATTAGTGAGGATGCCAAGAAAAAGGAACCTTTATCTTCACCAATTACATAATATAAGTTGATGCAGTCATTATAGAAAACAATAGTTTCCTTAAAAATTAAAAAAACAACTATATGATCTAGTGATTCCATTTCTGGATATTTACCCAAAGATTATAAAACATTAACTTAAAAAAAATGCACCCCTATCTTCACTGCAGCAACATTCACAATAGCCTAGGTGTTAAAAGCAACCCAAGTGTCCACCAGGAAAGGAATGGATGAAGAAGGTGTGGTACATATACACAGTGGAATGCTACTCAGTCATAAAAAAGGTGTTATCTTTCTATTTGGTACAACATGG